TACTCGGACCAAGCTTATAATCCACAGCCAGGCAAGATATTAGTCGCTGAGCCAATTCTTCTCCTTTCAGTGACTTTGCAAGAATTTCCAGGCGTATGAGCCGCTGAGTAGGTATAACGTTTTCCTGGACAAAGCGGATTATGATAACCAGAGCTTCACCCAATCTGGCTGTACCATCGAAAATTACACAAGCCTCTTTCACATCTTTGAGTTCTTCCTGCAGCTTGTCCTTCTCTTTTTCTAGTACTGCTGGAATAAGCTCGCCCAAATGGCCGCTGCTGGTTAACCGATGGCCATGCTTCTCTAGTAACGGTCGAAGGGCATCGATTTTCCCTATTGGTATACCACCATTGAGACAAGATTCGACAACTCCAAAACGAAACAATCGCATTTCCGCAGGCAAGGTTGAGCCAGGTGTACTTTCTCTCTTATCTCTCTTTTGCAGACATGCCATTATTGTCTGGTTTTGTGATTTGCTCTTTGCAATATCAGACAATCCCTTCTTGTGCTTTTTTGACTCAATATGTTTTTTGACTGAACTTTTCTTCAAGGAGAGTTCTTCATTACAAGCGTTACACCGCAATTTCCGGTCGATTACAGTAAAATGATGGTTGGGGAAATCCTTCAAACGATCCCAGGCAGTTGTATTGGCAATAGTTTTATTCCCCCTTTGATTGTACTTTCCTTGGTTGGTAGGAAGTTTTCTCTTACGTGCAATGTTAGCTTTTGCTGGAACACTAAGACTTGCACCAGCATTTCTTGCTGTCAAAATTGGATCTTGTACTTGTACCTGCACATCTTCGTTGTCTGAATCTGATGAGTCAAAGGATTCGTCTCGGTCTGATAGGTTTTGTGTTTCGGCCATGCTTCAAATTAGCAATTTTAATTTAAAAATGAAGACGCCATTTTGTTTCTAGTGCTGAACACTTACACGGGAAACCCTAGTAAATAATACCAATTACAAAGTAAAGGCTGACGCCTGTCAGTGACAGGTAGTTTGCTGTTTGACCTTAAAACTACCTGTCAGTGACAGGTAGTTTGATCAAAACACTATACTGCGATATATTAATTAATATTAATTTTTTGGCTAAAATGATTGATGATTTATACAGTAAACCTGCAATTTGCAAAAAAGTTGCTCTGAAACGCAAATGTTGCTTGAGGTTATTATAACCGAAAAAAGTTGCTCCAAACGCCAAAAGTTGCTAAAAAGTTGCCGAGCACAATCGGGGAGGGCCTATATATGTTAGTTTTATTCCTTCCTTTGCAATTCAGGTTTTGTCGACTGGGACACTGAGTGTCCCCCCCCCACACACACACATCTTCTACCATCGCACCCCCCCTGTAAACCAGCGGGCTGTACGGTTCTCTGTACGGAGTTGAGGTTCTAATTTTCACTGAACACACTCAAGCCAACCACTAGGCTAACACGATTCCACTTTGCCAGGAAGGAAAGGCTCAAGCGAAAGTTCAAAGAACTCAAATGTTGACGAGAGGATCTCGTAGTTTAAGAAGATCATTATTGCAAAATTATTGCTGCTTGAACAACCTTTCGATAATCTATGACCATCTGTCACAGTCACCGTGGAACCCCTGTTCGGTGGACGGGGGCCCTGGATTAAAAAATTACCGGATAAAATCCAGCCGCAATTAGAGTCAACATAATCGCTAATAAGTATGCAAATTGTTTTGCATGTCCATATATGGGAGATAGTTAGATATTAACAAACAAAGCTAAAGGCGTTGTCAACATTCGAGACTCAAAGATAGTTCGTTGAGCATTGAGCGCTGTTGTTTGAAAAACCTAGAAGAATCTTTGCATTGTGTTACGTTCGTTTCAAAGGTAAGAGGTTGCTTCCAATATCTTGTTAGTGTATAGCCAATTTGTGTTTTGATATAAGCTATATTCGACGGTGTATTGGCGTTGATCTTTGAGGCGTTTGTCACCATTGTGCGGGGTCAAGAATTCTGCGTCTCTTTTCCTAATTTAGCCAGATTAAAGGTCGGATTCTAGTACTAAGGCAAAATAAAGGCTTAAGGGCATCGAAAGTGTGTAGTTTCCATGTTAAACCGTCCTAGATTTTCAAAAATTCGACCTTGAGTAATATATTTTGCTATCATCACATGCTTTATATCACTTGACTATATATTTCAAGCGCAGCAACCAAATGCCATATTTTCAAATACTAATTACCCTAACTTGTGTGAGGATAGTCTGAGAATATAGTGACATAGCTATAAAGTAGTGGAAACGAATTCTTTATGGATGTTTAATTGATTTTCGGCACATCAAAACTGTTTTTATAGCGACTCGCAGAGCTGCCTACACGCAGTATAAAATGTAAACATTACCTGTTAATTGCAACTATTATAAAGTGGTTATTTTGAACTTTCATAATATAATACGTCTTAAAAAACGCAATTTGAACTAGTATTTTGCAAGTTTGAATGCGCAATTATAAAAATATTGCATCATTGCCTTTGATTTTTGAAATTTGGAGATTCATCACTGAATATTTGAAAATATTTTGAATGAATAGTTCGCTTTCAGATTATGCAGATTCTATTCTCATTCTTTGCATGTTTTTGTTTGCCTGCCGAGTCCCGCAGAAGGCACTAGATCGTTTGTATGAATTTAGAGTGTGTGAATTTCTTTGTTAATTACAAGTATTTAAAAAATCGTCTTTTATTGTTAAGTGGATTAAACGGTTCACATTGAAATGAGAGAATAATTTTCTATCATGGTTGATTTTGTTGAATGTGTTCGCTTTTAAATATATATCAGCCGCGGCGGGCAGGGTTTTCCTCGGAGTTTTCTGCTTGTGCGTTCTGGAATTATTGGAAATTGTGAAGTATTTTATTTTACTTTACAAGATTCACCACAAACACAATTTATCATAAATACCTTTGTATTACACAATTTGAACAGTAACACAACATAATATACATATATACAGCTAATTAAAAAAAAGGTTGTCCTTTACTTTACATGTAAATCTTAAACTCTATTAATTAAGCGTACAAAGCATATAAATGAAAGCATCATTTAATTTAATCGGTTTAATTTAGAAATCATATATGGGGTTCATTTCTTAGGGACATGGTAAATATAATCTTCTTCATACGAGAACAATTCATTCACAAATAGCAGCAGTATTCAACTGCAAAGCTTGAAACTTGTGCTCCCATTAAACTTTATGCGAGCCTTGAAAATTTGCGACCTTCGAAATGAAATTTGGAAAGTTTTGGCAAATGTTTTGTGAAGTAAACTGTAATTCTCAAAAAGAGTTCTTTGAATGCTTCTGGATTCGTCACGTTTTATAATTTCTCAGCGATTTATGTAATTTGTGAGCGTCATAGGAAGGAACTACTGTGCAATTATGGTCACGATTTATGTCAAGGATTTTTATGTTTCGTGGGCGTAGTGTAAGGGCAATTCAATCAACATACGTAAATAGCTGGCAACTGATATAAAAGATCAAAACTAATTATTGATGAACTTTAGACTTCGCTGGGCCATTCCATTTAAAATCCCCCCCCCCCCTGTTGACTAGGTTACTGATTTTAGGTCTACCCCTTCAGAAACGGCTTTCTGGAAGATCCCCTCGGAAATTTGCTATTTTTTTAGAACCCCTCGGAAATTTATGATTTTTCTCAAGCCCCTCGGAAATACCTGTTGACGTGGTTCCATTGCAATAGACCCCCTCAGAAATTTTCGAGAAATTATTCCACCACCCCTTGGAAAGTTTCGGAAATTTATTGACCACCACCTTGGAACAACAGGTAGTACCTTCCTCCTCCCCCCTCAGAAATTAAAAAAATTTTTTGACCCCTTCAGAAATTGTCCTTTCACAACCCCCCTTGGTAATTTCAACTTGGCACCCTTTCAGAATTTCAGCCCCCCTCGTCAACAAGGGGGTGTGGATATTAAATGGAATGGCCCGCTAATGCTTTCCTTTGGCGAATGCTTATGCCCGGAATGGCATTCTGCACCTCTCTCCTCCGCAGAGGCTTTTTTAAAAAGTTAACTGTTAACATGGATATAGATTCATTTCTCGCTGTTTATTAGTTAGGTGTAAAAAAAATACCTGTGGTTCCGGTTTCATATCGTGAAAAAATTAGGGTCGGTAGGTCGGAAATAAATTATTTTTTTGAATATTTTTTTCATGGTTTTGGCGGGTTTTTGCTGGGTGATTTGCAGTAGAGTCCCAACATCAATATTAACTAGAGATGTGTATTTCCTATGGACGAATTTAGGCAATTTGGTTCAATAATTAGTGTGACAACAATGCCATTTTGGCCGCTGTATGAGCAGCCCGCAACCACCTGGAGAAAATAGGGTCGCATGGTCAATCACATTGAAAAAATAATAGGGTCGGCAGAAAAAAATAGGGTTGGTCGGGAACCGGAACCACAGGTATTTTTTTTACGCCTTAGGGACGTAGGGTTGTGGTTAGGGTTAGGATTAGCATTCATAAATAGCGAGACATAAATCTTTAACCATTAACATTAAGAAAAACACCGCTGACACGTTGAGAGAGGAACACAGGCATTTTACTTCGCACCTACATTCCTCTCTTCCTTATAATCAGCGTAAGTTCCCCACTCTTCCCTTTACAACTTCATGTTAGGGACACATAATAGTTAGAAACACATAATAGTTCATGTTGGAAACCTCTGCGGAGGAGAGAGGTTCTGCGCCATTTGGCTCCAGATGGAATATAAAGATATAATTCATGAACATGAATTCTCAGGCCATGAAGCAATGTGAACGCTTGTTGTGATGTTTATTGATATGCTGCAATTATATTAGTTCATAGTTTGTTTGCTTTATTCATGCATGTGCAACACTTAATTTTCAGGTCTGAAAGATGGCAACACAATACTCGACACAAACTGTCACTGTTACGACCCAGCCTGGTGGCCTGCGAGACTGGAACAGCGGTCTTTTTTCTTGTTTTGATGACATAAAGACATGTATGTAGACGTTTTTCATAAGGGCCATAGGAACGAGACACAGGTGCAATTGCCCCCCAAAAAAAAGAAACCCAAGGAAAATTGGGAAATGAAGAATAATAAAAAATTCAGATTATTTTATTACAGTCTTCAATAAAATCTGCAAAAACTAATACCCTTAAATGTCTGCAAAAAATTCCAGCACATGCAGAAAATTGTGCAAGCTGAAAATCTTCCCTCCCTCAATAACTTTTCCTCTGGTCCACCCCTTAGAACATTTATGTTGCAACATTTTAAATGAAATAGATTCTCAGTTTTCTTTTCGTTGTATGGGCAGATATAAATGCAATCAGTGGTGTTGAACTGAAATGATACTACCATTTTCTGTGGGCGTGGTATAAAAATATTGTTTTGCACGCGAAACTTTGAATTTCGGCGTCAAAACTCAAAAGGGCACTTGTATTACAGAGGTTTGTTACGTAAACATATCCAGAGGGTGCTATAAATCTGTTATTTCGCTTTCTATAGCAATTTTGTCAGTATAAAGTCAGTCCGTGTGAAAAATAAGAAGAAATTTTCTCGTGCAAAACAATGTGCTTGACACCACGCCCACAAAAGTTATTATTGCAAAACAAAAACTTATGATTGACAAACTCGTGCTGAAGAAACGTTTTGAAACGTAGTTATAAATGCACGCTTCACGGAAGCTCGAAAATGGTAGTAACAAGGGGGGGGGGGGCTTTAAAAGGGGTGCAACATGATAAACATGGAAAGTTCCAGATTTATTTGTGGTTCAAGTAATTCTTCAATTAGTGTTGTTTGAAGAAAGGACTTTAAATAAAAGATTCTGATATACTGAAGCTACAGTATTTCATGTTGGAGGCAATCTGTACTTGATTCATCATCACTGCATTGTTTCAATACTACAGTCACAAAGAACGTTTTGACAGGTTATGAATATGCAATCTGTGTTCTGCAAAAATATTGGGAGGTTAGCCCCCCAAACCGGCATGACATTTTTAACATGGGGCTCAGCCCCCCTCCCCCTTTCCCACACACCTGCAACACATAATATTGTCTAAAAAAATTTCAGGTCTATGTGGCTGGTGCTGTGGGTGCTGCCTCTCAATTCAGGTCGCCACACGTATGGGCGAGACCTGTCTGTTCCCACTCTGTTGTCCAGGGGCTCTGTTGGCCATGCGTGCAAAGTTGCGTGGAGAACAAAACATTCAGGTATTGTGAGATCAGTGGGTATGGTTGTTCAGAGGCAGTGAGCTCTATATATACCTGGAGCACGAACTTCAGTCATTCGACCTATGAGAAAAGTGGAGCCAAGATGGCAGATATTGACGTCCAAAAGCTATGAAGTTCGTAAACAGTTCCAAATTAATACCATTTTTCCCAGCTAAATCCAGTTTTCCCTAACGGATCGTATCGCTAAACAAGTTACCAGTTCATAAAATCATAGTGTTATTCTTTAAATCGATGTCTAAATGCCCAATTTCGGCACACTCCTTGCCCAATCTCGAACCCTGAGCCTGCAATCCTCTGTGGAGGCTTGCTGAGGCTTTGGGAAACACCGGCGAATTTTGCACGAAAATCAGTACATTTGGATGCAGTACCCGCTCAGCATTTATAAATGATCATTGCTGCCGCCACAGAATAGGAAGTTATACAGTATAACTTCCTATTCTGTGCTGCCGCCAAGGCGCCAAACATGAATTATACTGTTTTCAAGCTTATTACGACTTTAGTTCTTCAAAGAACACTTAATTGCCAGTGTTTTGAAATGTTGTAAGATACTGATAGTGATTTAGTAGTGAAACTGTTTGAATCACTAAATAGACTCGCAGTTTGAATAATAATTTAATAATAATTAGCACGGAATCAGTGTGAAAGAAATGGGTCCGAACAACTCAAAAACAACCAATCAGAGCCCAATTTTCGCCAGTGTTTCCCAGAGCCTCAGCAAGCCTCCACAGAGGATTGCATCATTGCAGGCTAAGAGTAAGAGATTGACCAATTCACTGAGATTGACTCCTTTCCAAGATGGCGGAAATTGAAGAGCTATACACAGTGAACTCTATATATATATATATGTCTGGAACGATAACATTCAGTCATTTGATTGTGAAAACAATGAAGCCTCGATACCAGTCTTTCACGCGGATTGGACGTCAGTCTCAGTCCCTCAAGCGTCAGGTTTATGCGGATTGGACGTCAGTTTCATTCCCCCTCTTGCAAACCGTTGCACGGCCAGTATAAATTTGAACGCAATCACGAAAAAAAAATTAAAAACATGGCCAACTCAATGCAATACATTTTAGGAGCAAACTGTTTTGCTCCTAAAATTTACTGCATTGAGTTCGCTGTCGGAAAAAACTCGAGGAAAACTTCCCCGTGTGGAGAAAAGAATCACTTTTTACAAATATATTGTGTCGTACTGTCGTTCTGGATGCACAAGGAAAGAGATGTTCTTGCCAGAAAATTTCATTTCACAGGTAGGTAAATTGACTTGCAACTGTGACTTTGCCGTTGCCATTTTTCGCGATTGTTTGAATTGTTTTTTAGTTTACCAGTTTTATAGTTTTTAGTCAATACACTGGTACGTTATTTTTTAAAGAATTTATTGTGTGATGGGAATTTGCTTGCCAGCAAAATGTAAATGAATATGTACGTGTGTTTGAATATAAATTAGACCATATGGGCTTAGTAAAAAATTATTTTAATAACTACGTTTCGGAGTATAACTCCACCTTCAGGTTAAAAGTGAATAAAGATATAAAAACTGTGATAAAAGCGTTCAAAACAATTACAAATTTTATATGTGATTTTTAATACTGTAAGAAAGTTCTTGAACAGTTGATGACGAAGACAATGACGAATACTATGCACATTAATTAAGTAATATGAATAAAACATCATAACGTAATATATTTAAATTATTGCACTTACTTGTATAAATCATAAGAGCTTGTATTTGCAGTGAATAGCTTTTAACGGGGCGCTTATACACGCTCAGAAAATCGCTCAAAAACACTTGATTCGAACGATTGTTCAAATATGGCGAATAAATTGACAAAACGAAAATATTACATGACGTTCCAACGAAAATAACAGCAAGAATTGCGGGCGTGAACGGAAGGCGAGGGTAATAGATATTAATAGAAGGGATGAAACACCGGTAATGCGATCGTGTGATGTGTTCCATAAGTAGCCTGTTCTCTCGGAAAATTCCAAACTCCAACAACGCCTAAGCGCTTAATTAATGAAAATAAACATTGTTTAGCTATACCGGCTAATATGAAATGTTTAAATGTAGCGACCAACGTTTTTTTTTACATTATTTAGTTTTATTATTATTTCGTCATACGTCACGAGAACAGGCTACTTATGGAACACATCTCGCGATATTGGCCAAGAATGCTCGCTGTTATAAATCACATAAATTAGATTGATCAGTGCTTTTTTGGTAATGACTAGGCTTGTTCATGTAAGAGAACATCGACTGAGCCTTAAAAACCCCACAAAAAGCTTAAACGGGTAGTCTAGAAGCATTTTAAAAAGTCACGTGATATTTGTTTCATCCCTTCTATTTATTTCTTCCCTATGACGAGACAGACAGCTCCAGGTTCGCAGCTCCAGGTTCGCGAACCTGGAGCCAGCTCCAGGTTCGATTTCAACCTGGAGCTGGAACGACTAGTTTGTAAATAAACTGCTTTGCCCGCTTAACCACTAATGGAAATCAAATTTTTTTGAAAGACCATTTTTACTTGTCATATTCCTTAGTACGTGAGGGAAAATAAAGACATTATTCCGTTCCGTTCGTCCATGGTAGCTTGTGAAAGATCACTGTTTTTTCTGACAAAGAGGCTGGTCAGCGGTGGGATAGATCGCAAAGCTCGTTTAAAACCTTATTATTTTACCTTTATAACGAAAAACGTAAAATTTTGATTGATGACCATTCTAGAGAATGTATTCAAAAGTAATGTCAAGCGTTGAACTTATTTCCATATCGCGAAACCGCGATAAATAACTCGCGCAAAGTTGAACTGTCTAATTTCACGCACGGCCCAGTTGTGTTAATTTTATCCTTCCGTAAATACAACAACTTTGGTATCCGTACATTTACGCTTTATATGAGTAATAAATTGATATGTTAATGACATAATATCATTTGTTGCGCTTTTCTGAAGAACTAACGATATAAACATGTTTAATATCCGAAACACACAACGCAAACAAGATCGCTAAAAATTGTGTTATTATGCGGCTCAAGTCGTCGAGAGGCCATAACATGTCAAATACGTCTAGCATCGTCTAAATTGCTTCGCAAATTTCTTGCTAATCTCGCCCTGCCACAAATTTCTAAAAGATGACCCTTCTAGACTAATATTCATACTATCATATTTTACAGCATTTGAAACTTTAGGATACATATCCACCATGAGCAACTCATGAAAACACTAGCATTCGTTACCGAGATGAGAAATTAACTTTCAAGAGATGTGAAATATTAAACGTAAACAATAAACACGTCATCAGCTGGCACGTGCCGGACATTTGATAATCTCAGGGGAAAACCGGGTCCGTATTAACTATAATGTCGGCATGCAAATGCAACGAGGACATGGCAAGGCATTTAAGAGTGACGAGGAATAGGAACAAGGCAATTTTCCTTGTTTAGGTATGCGCTGTATTTTTTCAATACATGAAAAAACACTACGCTTTTTCACAAAGATAAACTATTTTTAAAGCATGCGTGGGTTTGAATTTGCGATTGCGCTGATTATGTTATTAAGAAGGCTTAAAACACACCCCTCCTATTAATTAACTCATACGGGCAAAAACGAAGTTTTTAGCTCACGTGTTAAAAAAAGAATACAGCGTATATAAACCCATGCATGACATTATAGTTAATACGGTTTTCCCCTGAGATTATTAAATGTCTTGCACGTGCCAGATAACACGGAATATTGTTTAGGTGTAATATTTCACATCTCTTGAAAGTTGATTTCTCATCTCGGTAACGAATGCTAGTGTTTTCATGAGTTGCTCATTGTGGATATGTATCCTAAAGTTTCAAATGCTGTAAACTATGATAGTATGAATATTAGTCTAGAAGGGTCATCTTTTAGAAATTCGTGGCAGGGCGAAATTAGCAAGAAATTTGCGAAGCAATTTAGACGATGCTAGACGTATTTGACATGTTATGGCCTCTCGACGACTTGAGCCGCATAATAACACCATTTTTAGCGATCTTGTTTGCGTCGTTCAGGAAAACGCAACAAATGATATTATGTCATTAACATGTCAATTTGTTACTCATATAAAGCGTACATTTACGGATACCAAAGTTGTTGTATTTACGGAAGGATAAAATTAACACAACCGGGCCGTGCGTGAAATTAGACAGTTCAACTTTGCGCGAGTTATT